CTCGAACATCACTTGTGACATATTCAACAATGCGAAAAGTTCAAGGTTCTCAATTCAAAAGTTTAAGAAGATTAAAAATAATTGTTCTACTTTATAAGTTCCACTTTATAATGCTCGACATTAAGAATCTTTTCGTATCATTTATTTTCTTTTATTCCTTATTTCTACATCTAACAAAATTTAAACATTTAAAATTAAAAATTATAATATTTCGATCAATCCATTACGTTTGAGAGCGTTCTACCAATTCTTGAAATTGAAAGTTAATTGAAAGTTAAATTTAGAGCAAAAAAAATCAATTATGGATTTAAATACATTCTTTACTGTGTAAATATTTTTATAACGATTATCTCAAATAAACAACAATGATTTTTAAACAACAATATATATATATATATATATATTGTTAAATTAAATTTAGAATAAAAAATTTAAATATAATAATATAATTTAATATCGTTATATTTCTTTTATCTGAACAAGAAAAAGACATATGAATATCAAATTCATCTTTTTAATAGAATTATATATTTTTTAATTAAATAAATTAAATAACAAGCTATATTTATTATATTAATTAAAAAATCATATAATTTTATTTAAACAAATAAATTTTTTTCCACAAATTTTTTATACATTGATCTATTAAACCATTATTGTAAATATATTCATGCGTTTTAACATTTTTTTAATGTTATTAAAAACAACAATAGAATATTTATAAAAAATACAATATGTTTTAAAAAGTCGATTCTAATAAAAATATACAAAATTAATATATTAAAATAATATCGGTCGAGGCGAATATTTAACGACAAAGATAGAACGGTTTTACTTCATTTTTGTCTTGCTTCAATTTAAATTGCTTATAATAATTCCAATCTCAATCAATATTTCTTTATATATCTATAGAATTAATTCTCTAAAAGTATCCCACGAATAAATTAATACTCTATATGAAATGAAAAAGTGTCTATCATTTTAAATGTGCCTGGACACGAATGACCAGCACATTAATAGGTTATTGTGAATAAGAAACACGAGATTTTTATCAGTTTATTACTGTGCATTTATATTTCATCGTGTTTTACGATGTAATATACCGTTTAAAACAATTTTCTAGATGAAACTCAATGCTTTTCGATCTCAAGTATCGCAGAAATAACTTATTTCTTTTTTCCTTCTCCATATTTATTATTACTATCTACTACTATATCAACTATTTTTTTTTCTTTTTTTTTTTAATGAAATATTACAATCTTCTGATTATAATTTTTCATTGCACATTCTTTATATAATATCTAAATATTCACAATGGATGTTTCTATCTAAATTCTTCAAAAAATATTTCTTGTATTCATTAATGATGGCTCACAAAAAATATTTGAATGCTTGTTGTAAATAAAACTATATATATACATATATATATAATAAAATATACGGTGATAGATTAAAATTTCGAAAATGCTGTTACCACAAAATACTACTATTACTACTACTATATAACAGACATTTTTATTTTTACGCGAATTTTTGAAATAATATAGTTTCATATAGCAGAGAGACAGAATTTCAAATATTACAAAACTTTCAGATTTAAAAAAACTTTATTCGTAAAAAAATATCCTCGAGCGAAATTCTTTCGAAAACTCATTAAAATCAAAATTTTCCGCCCAACCGAGATTTTCACAGCAAGTAGCTATAAATAGGTTTGGTAACGCGTCAAAGATTAATCCACAACGTAAGAATTCATTCCAGTACAGTTGGTATTTCAAGTGCGAACGGTTGGAAATCGCCATGCAACCATACAGGAAGAAAGAAAATAAAATTGCAAGACTTAAAACACTCGATCTCAACCAATCTTCTCAACAGCCGTCTCGAGTGATAACCTCTTTGCGGAGGAGGATGGTTGAACGTCCGAGGAAAACGTATCGACATAGCTGAGATTTTATTAAGCGTACGTTGGAGGCCTCATAAATCGGTCCATTTATTTTGCGCGGCCAACATGTCCCCGGCGGCCATTGTGTTGCGCCGCTCGAAAAACTACTTTTCCCAAGTGTGCTCGCCCCGTGATCGAGTCGAAAGGACGAATAAGCTCTCGCTCCCTCGCTACCCATCTCGATAGGTTCGGGCGAAAATGACCGTTTCCTGTTTTCTGAGGAAGAAGCCCTCCGTGAAGGTTGAGAAAAGATGGCGATAAAACGGGAATTGCTGAATTCCTGTGGAATAATTAAATGGCGCCCTTGGGCGTTTAAAACACTTGTTTGCACTGTTATCTGGAATCTTTCCAGGGAGGAAGTTTTTTTTTTCCTTTCTTTTTTTCCCCTGTCTTTCATCCTCGGTTTTTCTTTCGAAAGAGGTTTATGTCGTTTACAACGGGGTTGAAAATCGTGATACAACGTGAGACGACGGGAGGTCGAGCAATATATAAACAACCGAGCGGTTGGAAACACGTTGGAAAACGGAAAATTACTAAATTCCTGGAAGATAATTAAACTTCGCGCCAGCCTCGGCCCGTCTCGACCTTTGCCGATCTTTGCGCGTAGACCGAGACGGTTCTCCGTGTTTAAAAAAGTATAGCACACACGTCTATTTGATTATTAAACATCGAACTTCTTTCACTCACTTCTTTCACTCGCGAAGATGACACCGAAAAGTTGGATAAAATTCTGATCCAAAAATAGATTTAATGGTAACACTTTTGCGATACTAATCGTTTATGAATATTCGGATAATAGTTTAATTAATGATTTATTTATTGCCTTTTTTAATATAATAATCATCAAAAATAGCTTTAGATTTAATTAATATTTTGACGATATGCCAATAATGATTATGAATAAAATTCAGATAATAGTAAATATTTTAATTTTTTCAAGTTATTAGTTTAAGTAGTTATTAATTTATATGAAAAAGGATCAAATATTGATAAACTTTATTCATTTAAAATTTCTCTTTATATTTAGATTAGTATTCTTGAACGTTCTGAAACAATGGTTTTATTTTTTCATCGTTTAATTTGAAAACAATACTTCTTACAATATGTTTTCATAATCAGTAGATAAGTTACACATTTTATTACATTTCGAAAATTATTGCCTGTCATTTTCGTTCTTTAGACAGATAGATATATGGTACAATTTACTTAGATAGATTAGATTTATACGTCTTATAAAATAGGAATACAAGAATAAAACGACAATATTCCGAATTACTATTTATTAACTAGTTTAGCTACATTTTTTCACATAGTTAAACCAGTATACATAAATTATGATAGATGAATGTGGAAGTGTGTACGGCTGGAAACCAGAAGAACTTGATTCATTTTCAATATTACCTTCGTCAGGAGACTGTTTCAGATCAGATAAGGGGGGGAGATTTTATTGTTTTATACACACTAAGCTTGTTAAATTATTCCTAATAAATTTAATCATTGATAAATAAAACGTATCTCTTTCCACTTCCCTCGACAATTCCATTAAACTTGATTCTTTATTCCATAAATTAAAAAAACTCTTCGCGAAATGGTTGAGAAACCATCAATTGTTTTCAAATCCATTATTGCAAAAATCCGTTCGAAAGAACGCGATGTTTCGCAACATTGTCAGCTCCCTCGTCCGATTTTAACGGGGGGAGTCGGGGGGAGGGTCGGTAAAACGGAAAATTGTCGGATTCTTCGGGGATAATTAAACGAGGCCCCCGGGTGATGCATCGCACCCTCCGCTCCGGCGAGCATCCAGAGCCTGTTCCACGAATTTACTGCCGCTCTCGTGAATCTTACGACCGTCACGAATCGGTTACACCTTTCAGCGCTATACGATTAACGCCGCAACCCCGTTGAAACACGGTGGCTCGTGTTTCTCGCCGCTGGATACAGGGGTTGGAGAGGCGGATAAATAGCGCACGACATCCTGGGATATCGGAGGGGATGCTCGAAGGAACGGGCTAAAAGGGAGATCGAGGGGGGAGGGGATCGGACAGAGACAATGTGGCGGATAATCGCGCGAAACGATTTGCTCTTTTCACGGCCGATTAAGCCCGCAATCTGTTGGTCGAGCGAGGAAACGACCGGGGCGGATAGACGGTGAAATAATAGTAGGCAGGATTAACTTTCAATTCGGGAATTTTTCTTCAGAAGTAATGTTGTTTCCCCACGGATTCATTGACTATATACGTATGCGTGAAATTAAAGGAAATCGATAGGAAAAATGGAATATAAGAGCAAAATTTTTGTAAACTTTTTTTTCATTTCATAAAAATTATCTGGATATTTTGGACAATCGAACTTATCCAATCGTGTAAACAATATTTTCTAAAAGTAATGGAATTTTGATAATGTTTTGTAAATGTCATCGAACCACGATCTTATTGTTGTATTTTGGAGAACAAAATTGAGATAATAATTCTCGGCTGGCTTCGTTAGAAAAGTTTGAAAAATGATATAATATTATTCCATTAAATATCATTCAAGATCCGTGTAATTTTACTTTAACAAAAAATGAAGGCTGATCTCATGTGATATTAACAAAGAATTTTCCAAATTAACGATTCTATTATTTTTCAAAATGTTTACTTGGAATATGTATCATATTAATAATTTTATCATTCATCCTTGATTCTTTTATCCCCGATTTTGTCTATTTTGTATATGCAATATTCCTAAATTTTACTATGTACATGTAAGCATGCATTTATATAAGAATATGTGATAAAAAAAATTAACAAATCTCAATTATTATACAATCTTTCGATCTGATCCAGCAAAAAGATTTTTGACTTATCGGAGGAGATCGGAAAATCTTAGATCGTTCTTTAGGATATAATGCATTATTATCTTATTATATCTACATATATTTCATTTATCAAAAATAAGAATAGAGTTTAATTATTTACCATTGTTCACAAATAAATTGATCCCGTTTTCGATCCTTTTTATTTTATGACCAGGTAATTCAAAGATAATCGAACAATCGAAAGATTATTGCACAATCGATTTAATTATAATAGATATACGAGATACAATTATCGCCAATCGTCTCTATAGAAGTACATTTATACACGATACACGATTCCGTTACAAAACTTATAATCCTGACAATATAATATATCATGAATTATCCTTCACAAACGAATGTTGGTAACTTCTTCGATCCAATCGACGAAACTGGAGACTCTCGTGAACACTCCTGGTTTGCTGCTAGGGCAATTTCCGTCTCCGTAGCTTACGATTCCAATTTGAACAGGCTTCCTATTTTTCATCACGATCAGTGGACCACCGCTGTCGCCCTAATAACATTCAACAGTGTGGTGCAATTCTTTTTCCAACGAAAGAAAGAAGGAAACCGTTTCCATTTACCTGACACGCGTCTTGATCGTAAGCGGCCGAAGTACACACGTGCGACTCCGTGACAGGCCAGAACATGGAGCATTCGTAATTCGAGATAATCGGTACATCGGTATACTTCAGCCTCTTCGTTCCAGTCCCAATCGGCCCGTCCTTTCCCCATCCGATCACCATCCCCGTTTTATCGGCGAATGTCTCATCCGCGTATCTGTTGCCCGCCAATTGGATAGGTCGAATGCTGTCTGGAAGAATGGAAGAATATTATTAGACGGTTCAATAAACGATTGTCCGATTCGATGATCCTCTTACTTCCGAACGGTATATTCTGCGGCATGTGCAACAACGCGATGTCGTTCACGGTTGTTCTGTAGCCGGGGTGAAGCACAGCCTGGGTCGTTAACATGGCCACCCCGGGTCCTTGATAGAAATTATACGCAATACCGGTTTTGTCACGGGTACCGAAAACCACGAGGAATTGGTAAGGGCCCGAGGCCACGCAGTGGCCCGCTGTCAAAACCCATCTTGATGAAATTATGGTTCCGCCGCACTGCGAGATTCTCCCATTGCCCCTCAATTGATGCACCACGGCCATGAATGGAAATTGATTTTGCATCGCGTATTCTCCGCCGAAGATCCTATCCTCGTCCAATTCATCTGGTTTTTTTTTTTCGTGAAGAATTTAAACGCATCGAGGATTAATGTTTTTTTTTTTTCTGTTCTTCGAACGATTAGTATACTCACGATCGTGCGACGTGTAATTGTTGGGCGAACTCCATCCGTTGGTTTGAGGGGGCAGCGCGTTCCACGGTGGAACGCAGAGAACGTTGGTGTTGAGAGCTAGAGCGAAGAAGAGGAAAGACTTAATGCTTGCCAAGATCATGGTGAACTGTGTAAAATTCGCTTATTAGCTTTCCTATATATACCTGTTCTTTATCTGATTGTGTTTAGAGGAAATGTCAATGATATTTTCGTTGGAAAAATACTGAAAGTAATTAAAAAAATGTTGAAACGACTTTCCAAATCGACCCTTCGAGGCATTTAGAAACGATTTGTAGATGTAGATATTACTCGTAATATTCGAGAATAATACGTTTCTGTTCATTAATAATTGAAGATTAAATTCTTCTTCGAAAATTCAAAAATATTTATTTCAAAAGTATGACGCGTGTTTTTCTTAGAAATAGTTGCATATTTACTTTGCAGTGAAGAATATATTACCGGTCGAAAATTTACAATCGGAGTACAATATATTTCGACAAATGTATTTTAAATCGATGAGTGCAACTCTTCCCATAAATTTAAATTGCATTAAGTGTATTCGATAAATTTTAATTTTCGATTTTCCCTTAATGGACACGTTCTAAATTTTTAGAAAAACATTTTCCACAACAAGGAAAGTGGTTTATCTGAATTCGAAGGATTCGAAAAATCAAAATTTATCAAGACAATTAATTAATTTTTCGACAACGCTTCTTCAGAAAAAGAAGAGAGAGAGAGAGAGAGAGAATTTAGAATTTCGAATTTCAAATTTCAATTCCATTCTCTAATAATTTCCAAAATTTGAAGCTCGAGGAAAATTGCCAGCATCGACGACGAGATTAGCGATCGATGGAACGCAACCAGAAGCGGCCATTTTCGTGGCCAGATAAGCAAAGTGTCCCGGGGACGAGCCAGGCCTCCGCTTCGAATCCACGAGCAGATACACGGGCGAGCGGCTCGTTTGAGGACTTATCTCGGCCTCTGGTCTACTCTTCCTCCCTTGAACATGGTGCCGTTAGCCCGAACCCGCCGCGGGCGATCTCCATTCATGCGTCCAATTTAGACGTCAATGATGCAATAAAAGCATCGGCCCCCCCCCCCCCTTAATCGATCATCGTACAGATCCCAAACTTCAAACTGGTTCATCCTTCGCCTGCCACCGTCGTTAGGCCAACCCCATTCTCTCGGATTATTTTCGAGATTAATTCGGAGGAAAGAAAAAGTTATTATTGCTTTACATGAATGAAGATAGAAATAATAGAAAAATAGAAACTTGTGCGTATAAATGAAATAAGGATCGATTGATTTATCTTTAGAATCGTTCTTATAATGACAATTTTCAAAAACCAAAGTTATTTTCGTATTATAATACTTCAACTTGGAGAAACATGAAATTATTCGATGAAAGCTAAAAAAAAAAATTAACCTTCAAAAGAACGATCTGTAAAGCAATGATTTTCCATTTTCCACAACGACCACGGTGTTACTTGGCGGCAAACAATCTCATGGCAACAATCCAATCGTATGGGGACAGGGCAGAAAACAGGGGCAACACGCGGGTATCGTTGGCCGAGGCGTGGCAATTAGGAGAAAGTCGAATCGAATAATTCATTCAAGCGGATCTTTTTTATCCATTGCGTTGGCTTCCTTCCTAAGAACTCGTTACCTAATTACCCAGCGCTTATTAGGGCTTTGTACGAAGAGGGAACATTATGGAAAAAAGCGACGTTCCTGCGCGGAACAAAGACGTCTGTTACCACGCTCGACACGCGTTTCCACGTGTTCAAATTAACATTTCACATTTGATGTGAATGGCGTTCGTTATCGTTCTCTAAAAGACTTTGAATCGATATTAAGCAAGTTAAATTCGATCGAATTAATGGTGGAGTAATAATGACTGAAAGTTGTGTGGTTTTTTTCCTATTACAGATTGGAAATTGTTGATTATTAAAAAGCGATGAGGAATAATTACTGAGATGGATGACTTCTTTTTTTTTTGAAGTCGAATTGCGTCTATAAATAATGGGGTAAATTAAACGATATTTGGTATAATTACATTTGGATGAATTTGGATATAATAATAACGTTCTGATCGAACGAGAAATATAACAATTTTTGTAAATAAAAATATAGAAAATGGATTAATGGTGTATAAGATATATGGATTTCTATGAAAAAGCAATATATCTTTTAAATTTAAGATAGTTTTGAAGATATAGAAACAATTTTATGTAAAAACATGATTTCAATTTTATCACTTTTCATTATTTGTCTCTTAAGTCTTTTAAATTCCATACAATTCGTAGATTTGAATTCAACAAAAATTAATAATCTTCTTATATAATCATTAATAACATGTTTCGATTAAGTATCAGAATCTTATCTGTTTAGAAGAATAATAATACACAAGTCGATAGACTTTGCAACAAGAAGAAAAAAGAAACTTGAATAATTTTCGATTACAAATTTGAAATTGTCCTTAATTCATTCGAAAAAAAAACTTATTTCGTATCCTCCAATAACCAAGAACGAGCCGCTGTTCCAACGATCGTTCCAATTACCTCGATGGATCATCGAGCAATCCATCCCCCAAAGTTGCAAAGTTGGTTCGTAGATTTCTGCATTGTGAGAGATCTCGCTCGCCACGACGAGAGATTTGTAGAGATCTGGCCTCGCAGAAAAAATATATATATTTTCGTCCTCGATGGAGGGGCTCGAACCTCAGAAAAGAAGAGATCGAAAA